ATTATTTTCTGGTTCCTCAGATAACTAGAAGTTTGCAGTAGTAGTGCATCAGGTCACAGGGTCTCAAAAATGTCGAGTTGGCTGTGCATGTCCAGTCTTTGATGAAGCCTAATGAAGCCTCCTGTTTCCAGATTATGTGTGCTGGTGTTATAAGTAATTTTTATTTGTCCCAGGTTTCTGGCACAGAGCCAAAAATACCAGGTGGAATTTCCTGAGTGATGGTAGGAGCACCTTTTTTATGCTAATGCAGTGCTTTTGGTAAGACCCTAGATGTTTCTTCGACATGGGGCCTTTTTCCCCAGAAAGACCAGACCTGTTATTAGAGTGTAGGGAGATTGGGTTCATTCACATGGCCAGTGATTTGATCAATCATACCCACTTAATGAAACCGCTATAAAGACTCTGGGCACCAGTTTAGTAGAGCTTCCATGTTGAATACCACATTGATGTGCTGGAAGGGTGATATGCCCTGACACTGGTGAGGAGGGGACAGACACAGGGACCTACTTTTCCCCCCAAACCCCCAACCTCCTAGATAATAAATTACAGTCCTTCTGTAGTGCTTTCCCGAGCTCCACAAATAATTCTAATAAATCATCAAACTAGGGGGCAATGGGAATTTCAAAGATTGGTAACCAGTTGTTCTCAAGTTTGGGTGGCATCTGAAGTGAGCATATTCTTGTGGCGGACTGATTCCTGAACTAATTGGAGTCTTCTTGTTCAAGGGTTGATGTGTAGAACTGAATTATTAGATACCCATTTGAGGTTGAAAAGTTAACTAGATAAAACCATTTATTCCTGCTTAGTTTCACTTGTAGAATTCATATGTTAGACCTTAATGTTAAAACAGTTTTCTGATAGTAAAGCGCAGTTGAGTAGGTTAAACATTAAACCTTAGGTTTAGGGCCTTCTCTGGTAGCCTAGGAGTTAAGTCTCAGTGCTACCACCACTGTGGCCTTAGTTGGATTCCTAGTCACATATGGTGCAGGAGACCTCTTGGTCTCTCCTGTTCTGCTCCTCACTCTGTCTATGTGAATCCTCTCACCCCCTCACCTCTGGCCTACACCCCAGATATTCTACCAAAAAAAATAAATAAATCTTAAGTTTAGCCTTAAGGGCTGGTTGCAGTATCGTTGCAAAAATGTTTCTAGAGGGCTGGGTCCCTGGTAGCTGGCGCAAGGGGTTAAATCTCAGCACAATGAAGTTAGCAGCAGCTGTAGCTCCCCTGCCAGGGAGCTGAGCCACATGGTTCATCATACCTCTCCTGTCTCATCTGATGCTCCCCTCAGCAGTTTATTTCAGTAGATCTGCCTGTTCTGCTCCCCACTCTGTCTCTAGTGAATCCTCTCAAGCCCTCCCCCCCATACACACACACCACACCCACCCACCCCGCCTATACACCAGTGATTAGATGCATAAATTAAAATATTTTTTTTAAAAAAGTTTCTAGATTGTTTTTGTGTCATCAAATAAATCTCCTGGCTTTTATCTTGCTTTCTGTAACATGAATAATGTTTTGGTTTTTTTTTTTTTTTTTTTTTTTTTTTTTTTTTTTTTTTCCCAGATGGGAGTAGATTAAGGATACTAGGGAGCAGGAAAGTGGTCAGGCAGTATATAAGCCAAGTCTTGATTCTAGCATAGCCCCTGCTGCACTGCCTGCAGCAGCACCTATTATACCAGAGTCCCATCACCAAAAATGAGAGTGGGAAGGGATTTTAAAATAGGGACTCCTCAGGCCTCCCCCATGGCGCAGCGGTTGAGTGCTGGCTTGCGAACCTGCCCCCAGCCTCTGCAGCACCGGTTTGATCCCCGGCTGCTCCCCGGCCACTGGAGGAGGGTCCTACTTGGCGCGCAGACCTCTCCTGGGGCCCACTGCTCCCCTCAACGGTGTACTTTGGTCCTTCTACCTGCTCTGCTCCCTGCTCTGGCTCTGGTGAGTTCTCTTACCCTCCCGTGCTTCTGACTGTACCCAGTGCTTGTATAAATAAATAAATAAATCTTAAAAAATAAAATAAAATAGGGACTCCTCAAGGAAGAGAAATGAAGAAAGTGGAGGTGGGTCAATTGCTGTTAGGGTGGGCGAAAGTTTTTAGTCACTTGACAGTTCCTCTGTTGTGTGCCCTTCAATCTCAGCGTGGAAGTATAATACGAAGTAGCAGTTGTTGTGCTTCTATGACAATGTGATCATGCAGAATTGCCAATTATAGCATTAAACTTTTTCCAGAGTAATTATTTTGAGTGTCTTTTGGTAATTTTGTTGATGTACAACTATTTAAAAATAATGATGTTTCTTCATAGTTGAATCCATATGTCTTTAGCTAGTTAATAACATAAGGAAATTCTTGATAAGCTGGGGAACATTAGTTATAGAATAAACATTGTTCAGGCCTCGTTGTTTCCTGTTTAACACAAAGACAAAGTTCTCTGCACTGCTGCGTACTACCAAGGGTGACTCACCCTAGTTTGATCCCTGTCATTGTGTTAAACCTGTCATCAAATTGCCTGAGTAACTGCAAGTTTATATAAAGACAGAAATTTAGACAGCTTAATGTGGGTTTTTTTGTTTTTTGGTTTTTTATCCTTCCTCCTGTGGATGTGTTTGGTTTATTTTTTTGTTTATTTTTTTATATAATTCTTACATCATTTTTCATTTTTGCACAATGTATGCATTATCATTTTGGTTATATTGCCCACACAGTTGCATTCCCCTCTCCCCCTTATTTTGACCCTAGTCCTTCCAATGTGAGGTTTTTTTTAAAAAAAATTTATTGTGCATACCAGAAGCATGGTGTAGGCCAGATGGTGGAGGGGGGGCTCCCCAGGGGGGTCCTACTGCAACTGAATGTTTTTAAGTGTCAGGTTTGGAATCTGTCGGAAGGATCTTAACTCAGAACTCTCTTCTGTACTGAAAATTTCTTATTTCCTTTCTTTACACTCCCTGCATTCGAGGTTGACTCAATGGCTGTGAGTATATGGCATTGGATTTAGGACATGGCTATTAATTTCTGCATCTGTTTTACAAATATAACTCTTTATAGTAGGCTTTTAACACTTTTTCTTTGTGTAATGGTTCTTTAGAAGCAGAATTTGATCCAGCTTGTTCACGTGTGCTATATGTGTTTTATAACTGTTTTCCATATTTCATTTGTTACTTTTCCTAGAAAAAAATTTTTTATAAAGATTGATTTATTCATTTACACAAGAACCAGGGTATAGGCCAGATGTGTGGGAGGGTGAGAGGATTCACCAGACAGAGCGGGGAACAGAACAGGCAGACTGACTGAAATACACTGCTGAGGGGAGCAGCAGGTGAGACAGGAGAGGTCTGCAGCACCATGTGGGACCCTCGCCGGCTAGCCGGGATCGAACCCGCTCTGCAGAGGCGGCGCACAGCTTCACAGCGTGGCACTCAACAGCCTGCGCCACCAGGGGAGGCCCACTTTTCCTAGAAATTTAAAAGCAGATTATGCAATTTATTTTGAGATGACTTAAAAACATGGCTAAATAATTATACTCATCACTTCATTTCAGACTTTTCCAGTTTAATATCTTCTACATGGCTTCACAAACTATTATAGCCACACTCTGTGTGTTTTTGTGCGATTTTATTGGAACACAGTCTGATCGTGGTCTGCTATATGTGGGATTTTATCCACTCATTACTACAAATATCTAGATATGAAAGAATCATTTCATGATTCTTCTGTATCTTTTTCTTTTCATTTCCCTTTGTGGTAAACTGATCATTTCTTTGAGATTGGTCTACCTTTTCTTTTTCTGCAACAGGATCGCAGTGTGTGGTAGGAAGGTGATGCTGTCTGAAGGTGACATGCTGCCCTCCTTCCTTCTGTCCTCTCGCTTCCTATTTTGGCCTCCTGGTAATTGGGGTGGTGGAGGTGGGGGATGGTAGGGCGGCTAGTCTATACTAAAACGAAATTATTTTACCTGAGGGGGTGGGGGGGGCCAGTTCCTGGCCTGCAATTAAGAAATAAAAAGTTTATCCAACTTTTAGGTATAATCTGTTTCGGGCTTATGGGATCTACTGAGAATAAGAAAAGGCTAGACTGGGAAATAAAACTAATGGTAATTCAACTCAGGGAAATTAAATGTTCTTCATTCATTACTGCCTTATCTGGGGATTATTTAATCTCATCAATTTTAAACATTTTATATTGTGTGATTTTAACAATATATCCTAATTATAATTTTGATGGTGATTGCTTCTGATGTTAGAACGTTGAACGTAGACATTTGAGAAAAGGAATTGGTTTTAGATGTTCCCAAAATAAATCACTGGGTTTGGATAGATTTGTCTTAGTTTCTCCAGATTGTGATGGGAAAGATGCTGACACTGCCAAATCTTGATTTGTGCTGCTTAGCAGTAGACTTGTGAAGTCACTGATTTGGGGTTTTTGTTACTGATCTTGCCCCTCTGGACTTCTGCATGAGCCTTCAACTCAACCAGTGTTTCTTGAACTTTATTCATTGAATGCCATCTTCTTGATTTGCCTTCTCTGTACTTTCCTTGGCTATATTTTTAATCAACTCAGTTTTTAAAACTTAAAGTTATGCAAATAATGGCTGGGAGATATGGAATCAATGCATTAACTCTTTTCTATTTGGCACTTAAGGGAACATGTACATGTTCGGTACTTTGTCCCCAATCTAAAGTTTTCTTTCTAAAGGCCATCAAGTCCATTTTGGGAAACACTCCCCTGTGTGCTAGAAAATAAATCTTTGACCTTGAATTTGAGATTTCTGATTTAACTGATATAAAACTAGTACTAAAAGCTACTTCTGTACCTGGAAATACCAGAGGAGAGAAAGGGTCATGAGCTGGGTGGGTGCTTCAAAGTATAGAGGCACTTGACTGTGCATGGCAAAGCTTGGAGTCCTAGCCTTGCAGTGGTTGGTTTGTTTTTTTAAGCTGGTATCTGTGTCTCTCACCCACAATGTATTTGTGTATCTCAAATTTTCATAAATTTTATTTTTCTTTACAGGTTTGATCTTGCTCTTTTACCTAGTCTTTTATGTGTTCCTGGCTGCACTCTTCACATTCACGATGTGGGCTATGCTTCAGACTCTGAATGATGAGGTTCCAAAATACCGAGATCAGATTCCTAGTCCAGGTAATTATGTTGCAGTTATCTTGACTTTTAACAACATTAGGTTATTTCTTTACACCATAATTCTGATTTCTATAGCAGATAGAAAGTAAGTCATTAAATCTTGGAATTAGAGGATGTGAAATTTTTTTTTAATATTTAAGTATTAATTTAAAGATCTTCAAACTTATGGGCTGGATCAACAGGAGTCTTTTGCCAGAAGCAAGCAGAAATGAATATTGAGAATTATACTGAAACAGGTTTTTTCAATAACCATATTTTTTAAATGCCATCATTTCAATATTACCTGGTAAGTTTTAAATACTAGTTTTAGGGCCTCCCTTGGTGGCGCAGGCAGTTGAGTGCAGCTCTGTGAAGCTGTCCACAGCCTCTGTGGCATGAGTTTGATCCAGGCCAGCTGGTGAGATTCCCACATGGCGCGGCAGACCTCTCCTGCCTCGCCCATTGCTCCCCTCAGCAGTGTATGTATTTCAGTCTGCCTGTCCTGTTCCCCACTCTGTCTCTGGTGAATCCTCTCACCCTCCCACACATCTGGCCCTTACCCCGGTTCTTGTATGCATGAATAAATAAATCTTAATTAGTAAATAAAATACTAGTTTTAACAGATACATACAGCACAAACACTGCTCATGTACACCCCTCCTAACACATACTAGCAGGTCCCAGCACGCACACACTATCATCCCAGTGGTTTAAATTGGAAGGAGACAAGAATTACTTTATTCTGTTGTTGATCTTGATTTTGGGCAAGGAATTGCATGAACTAGTCAGCAGTGCAGCTGTACTGCCCGTTTCTCCCATGGTTTTTTACTTAAGCGTTTCAAATAGACTCTTAAGCATTAGATGCTAGTGCTCCAAGACCACTGCTAGGTAAGATCTAGGAAGTTGAGCATCAGAAATGCAGTTTCAGACAGCTAGGTGTTAAGACAAAATTTTTGTAAATTGAATCATTTAAAAATCCCCTTAGAAATTAGTCATGTAAGGCCTCCCCTGGTAGCGCAGTGGTTGAGTGCTGGGCTGTGAAGCTGCCCACAGCCTCTGCAGCGCCGGTTCAATCCCCGGTTACCGGCGAGGGTCCCACATGGCGCGCAGACCTCTCCTGCCGTGCCCGCTGCTCCTGTCAGCAGTGTCCTCTGTCTCTCTGCCTATTCTGTTTCCCACTCTGGCTCTGGTGAATTCTCTCACCTTCCCACGCTTCTGACTGTACCCAGTGCTTGTATAAATAAATACATCTTTTTTTAAAAAATAATTTAAAAAAAAAGAAATTAGTCATGTAAAAAAATGCGGTTTCTTTTTTATAAAGAATAGACCTCTTCAATTTGGAAGTCTGGATTTTGTTTGTTTGTTTTTTAAATCAGATTGTTTTATGGTTGAGTTTTTCTTCAAGTCGAATGTTTTTATACAGTTACATGCAATTTTTTATTTTTTTACTGGCAATATATTATATCTTGTTACTGCTATAAAACCTTAAAAATAAGAATAAGCAATCTCAGATGTAGACAGGCGGTCATGTCATATACTGGTTCATCAGAGGTGTTATTCTATATTAAACACTTAAAAATCAGAAAAGTATTACTATTTTTATTGTGATTTAGCAGTGGAAAGGAAACTAGACCTATAGGATCATCTAAATCTAAGTGATCTGATACTTTGATGTGGTAGGTGAGTGGGGAGTTTAATCAGAGACCCCTGTACATGGAGGTAAAGACATGCTCTGCTGTTTAGCATCATCATGTCCTTTTGGGTAGTATTGATTCTAGTAACTCAAGAACCTTTCAAATCAAACTGGGTCGCTACATGCAAAAGAATGAAGCTTGACCACTACCTCACACCATACACAAAAATCAGCTCAAAATGGATTAAAGAACTAGACATAAGACCTGAAACCATAAAATACATAGAAGGAAATATAGGCGAAACACTACGTGATATTCACATCAAAGACATCTTTACAGACACTTCACCCAAAGCAGTGATAGTGAAGGCAAAGATAAACAGCTGGGACTCCATCAAATTAAAGAGCTTCTGCACAGCAAAAGAGACAATAACAAAAACAAAGAGAAACCCCACCAACTGAGAGAACATTTTTGCACACAACACTAATGATAAAGGACTGATCACAAAAATCTGCAAAGAGCTGATGAGACTCAACAACAACAAAGAAAATAATCCAGTCAAAAAATGGGCAGAAGAGCTAAAAAGAAACTTCTCTGAAAAGGAAATGCAAATGGCCAACAGGCATATGAAAAAATGTTCGACATCACTTGTAATCAGGGAAATGCAAATCAAAACTATCATGAGATACCATCTTACACCAGTGAGAATGGCACATATTAAAAAAACTAGCAACAACAAATGTTGGCGAGGGTGTGGAGAAAAAGGAACTCTTCTGCACTGTTGGTGGGAGTGCAAACTGGTCCAACCACTATGGAGAGCTGTGTGGAGATTTCTGGACCTACTAAACATAGAGCTTCCATATGATCCAGCAATTCCACTCCTAGGTATTTACCCAAAGGACACAGAAACATCAATTCCAAAGAGCACCTGCACCCCTATGTTTATATCAGCACTATTTACAATAGCTAAGCTTTGGAAACAGCCCAAATGCCCAAAAATAGATGACTGGATCAAGAAGATGTGGTGCATATATACCATGGAATATTACTCAGCATTCAAAAAAGATAAACACATGCAATTTGCAGCAACATGGATGGAGCTGGAAGGGATCATGCTCAGCGAAATAAACCAGAAAGAAAAAGAAAAATACCGGATGGTCTCACTCATAGCAGGAATCTAGAAAACTTAAATAAGGGACCAGGAAAATGAATAACTATAAGAAAGTGAAAATCAAAATCAACAAAAAACTATGAACCAGAGACACTTTTTGGGAGGTGGGTGGCGGGAGGGGAGAGATTGGGGTCAGAATGGGGGGGTTGCAATTGTATGTGGAATATAAAAATAAAATTTATTATTAAAAAAAAATTTAAAAAAAAGAACCTTTCAAATCAACACAGGAAATCATTTAGGACTTCAAAGGAACTGGATCTGATCTAAAAAGCATTAGATGTCATTGAGCAACAATTTTAATTTTCAGATTCAATGAAAGGCATATCTATAATAACTGACATGGGTAATATTTAGAAACTAGTAAAAAGTTTAGGATTATTTTAAGAGTCTCATGTTCTACCAAATGAGTTAGCCAGACATTTTAGGATTATCTTAAATCACATGTGCATTAATTCAAAATGAACTAATGATCTATTTCTGGACCTCCCTGGTGGCCTAGGGGTTAAGTCTCAGCATCAGCACTACCCCCACAAAGGCCTACCATGAAGGCCTGAGTTCAGTCCCAGGCCAGAAAGTTAACCCACATATGGCACAGCAGACCTCTCCTGTCTCACCCACCCCCTTAACAGTATATTTCAGTATATCCACCTGTTTTGCTCCCCATTCTGTCTCTGGTGAATCCTCTCACTCCCCTGCACCTCTGACCTGCACCCCAGTTCATCCACGCAAAAATTAATAAAAAATATTTTTTAAAGGGCCTCCCCGGTGGCGCAGCAGTTGAGCTCTGGGTTGCGAAGCTGCCCGCGGCCTCTGCAGTGCCGGCTCGATCCCCGGCTGCTCCCCGGCCACCAGAGGAGGGTTCCACATGGCACGCAGACCTCTCCTGCCGCCCGCTGCTCCCCTCAGCAGTGTACTTCGGTCCTTCTGCCTGCTCTGCTCCCTGCTCTGGCTCTGGTGAATTCTCTCACCCTCCCGCGCTTCTGACTGTACCCAGTGCATGTATAAATAAACAAATAAATAACTAATACATGCCTCTTTTATTACTTTTTTTTTTTTTATTTTATTTGTTTGTTTGTTTTGTTTATACATGCACTGGGTACAGTCAGAAGCGCGGGAGGGTGAGAGAATTCACCAGAGCCAGAGAGGGGAGCAGAGCAGGCAGAAGGACCGAAGTACACTGCTGAGGGGAGCAGCGGGCGGCAGGAGAGGTCAGCGCGCCATGTGGGATCCTCCTCCGGTGGCCGGGGAGCAGCCGGGGATCGAACCGGCACTGCAGAGGCTGCAGGCAGCTTTGCAACCCAGCGCTCAACCACTGCGCCACCGGGGAGGCCCCTACATGCCTCTTTTAAAAAAAAAAAAAAAAAATATATATTTTTTAAAGATGATCTAGTTATAATGCTTTTTAGAGGCATTTTTTTTTAATTTATTTTATTTGTTTGTTTTTTTGTTTATACATGCACTGGGTACAGTCAGAATCGAGGGAGGGTGAGAGAATTCACCAGAGCCAGAGCGGGGAGCAGAGCAGGCAGAAGGACCGAAGTACACTGCTGAGGGCAGCAGCGGGCGGCAGGAGAGGTCTGCACGCCATGTGGGACCCTCCTCCGGTGGCCAGGGAGCAGCCGGGGATCAAACCTGCACTGCAGAGGCTGTGGGCAGCTTCGCAACCCAGAGCTCAACCGCTGCGCCACCGGGGAGGCCCTATGATGCTTTTTTTAAAAAAAAAAAAAAATTCATTTATGCATACAAGAGCTGCAGTATAGACCCCAGCTGGGGTATAGAGATGCAGGGGGTTTGGGGGGCAAGAGGGGACGGTGAGAGGATTCACCAGAGACAGAGTGGGGAACAGAACAGGCAGACTGACTGAGATACACTGCTGAGGGGAGCAGCAGGTGAGACAGGAGAGGTCTGCTGCACCATGTGGGTTGCTCTCTGGCCACCAGGGATCAGACTCGTGCTGCAGAGGCTGCGGATTGCTTCACAGTGCAGTCCCCAACCCCTTGCGCCACCAGGGAGGCCCCTAGTTATAATGCTTTTTTAAAAAAGGAAATCTTGGGCCTCCCTGGTGGCGCAGCGGTTGAGCGCTGGGTTGCGAAGCTGCGCGCGGCCTCTGCGGCGCCGGTTCGATCCCCGGCTGCTCCCCGGCCACCAGAGGAGGGTCCCACATGGCGCGCAGACCTCTCCTGCCGCCCGCTGCTCCCCTCAGCAGTGTACTTGGGTCCTTCTGCCTGCTCTGCTCCCCGCTCTGGCTCTGGTGAATTCTCTCGCCCTCCCGCACTTCTGACTGTACCCAGTGCATGTATAAAAACAAAACAAACAAACAAACCAGCAAACAAATAAATAAAGCATGCCTCTATAAAAAAAAAAAAAAAAAAAAAAAAAAAAAATAAAAAAGGAAATCTTATATTAAAAGTTGTGAGCCTGCTGTATTTTGAAATGTGTTTATATTTTCTCTTTAATAAACTCACAATATGTTCTATACAACTGAGTGTTGACTGCTAATACGAAATTGTTGGTGGTTACACTCCAAATTCATTATGGAAAGTCATTTTTAATTATAGAACAGTGCTTATTTTTTGAAGTTAAAATTGTGCAGGCCTCTTTCATTGAAAAAGGTAAGCTGTCTTTATGAATGTTTTCATATAGATGTAATTTGAAAGACAAGAGTCTTTCAACTTTGATTTGCTAAAATATTTCCCTCTGTGTTAATGATGAAATGACAAAATCTAAGTGATAGAAAAATGAACATAGAAAGTAACAAAACAAAACTTGCTTAGTAAGGAACAGCAGTTATAACTAACTGCAGATAATCAGATTTAGGGGAGGTTCCTGACAGTTAACATCTGAGATAACTTTGAAGAGTTGGAATGCTTGTTTATTTTAGATGTGTCTGTGCTTTCATACTCAGCAGGAGTAAGTTCTTAATAATTTCAAAATATCTGTGAACACAATTTTCCATATAATTTACTAAGCTTTACCTTTTAGGGATAAGAGGAGGAAGGAAGGAAGGAGAGAAGAGAAATTGCCACAGCTAATTCCCACTCACCCCCCTTTCATCTCTTCTTAGGACTTATGGTTTTTCCAAAACCAGCGACTGCGTTGGAGTATTCATTTAGTGTCGGTGATTCAAACACCTATAAAAAGTATGTTGAAGACCTTAAGAAGTTTCTAAAGCGTAAGTACATTTTTTTAGAGTCAGGTAAAAGATTTTAGTCCTAGCAGTAACTAGTTCCACATTATGATGCTTTTAGAAGCATCATTTTTAGAATTTGCTTTATCTTTTTTTTTTTTTTCTCTTTTAAACACAATCAGCTGAGAGGACTTGCCAGTTGATTTTATAATTAGTTGTGAAAATGCCCTAATTTTTCAAAAGACGTAAGGGTCTAAACTAATCGGCAATTGAATTAATTTTTCTTCCTGGCCCAGTTTTATCTACATTTTGCTTGACCTAACTCCACAGCATAAATGATTAATCACCACGTGCCCTAACCTATTGGTTTTTGATTGCTAGTCTCACCTTTTCCCTAGCCACACTTACCTACTAATCTTCTAGAACTTGTGGACTCCATTTCCAAAACCTGTTACTTTCCTAGCACAACCTCCTGTCATTCTAGTCTACTTTTTCGCTTATCTCACTATTCTTACATTTCATTGGGATTTTCAGTTCACTAACACTTTTATTTTATCCTGGTTTCCTCTCTTACCAAGCTTGTTGATTCCATGGTTTTTTTTTTCATTTAATTTTTACTTTATGCCAGCACTCTGAAATCCCTTGGCCCTCTCAGTTTGTTTTGTCATAAACTTGTAAATGAGGAAAGCCATTTAATTCTCCTAGATGAAGTTGTTCTTTGGAGTCTGCTTCTTGAGCAGCTGGAGAAAGATTTCAATAGGACTAAGTACTATCCCAATGGATATTTGATTACCTTGCTCCATCCTCCACTCCCTGACTCTCCTACTGAATTTCTCTGAATAATTCTCTGAGGGGATTATTTCAAACCTCTAACCTCTTACTTTTGCCCCTGTAAATCACTTTTGTCATGTAACCTGGTTTTCTGCTTCACAAATAAAAGTACTGGGCCTCCCTAATGGCGCAAGGGGTTGAGCACCGCACTGTGAAGTAGTCTATGGCCTCTGCAGCACAAGTTCGATCCCAGCCCTCCAGGGAGCAACCCACATGGTGGAGCAGACCTCTCCTGTCTTGCCCGCTGCTCCCTTCTGCAGTGTATTTCAGTCAGTCTGCCTGTTCTGTTCCCCACTCTGTCTCTGGTGGGTCCTCTCACCCCCCACATCTCTGGCCTATGTCCCATCTCTTGTATGCATAAATAAATAAATATTAAAAAAAAAAAAGGAATAAAGAAAAGAACTACCGCCGTCACCAGTAAAAGAAACGTACAGTTATAACCATTTTATCTGTAATACTGCTCCTGTTCGGTGAGGCCCCCTTTCTCTTCCAAGGCTACCAGTACCAGTCATGCTTTGGATCTCATCCTGTATCGCTGCCTCAGAAACATAATACTATTTGCTGTCTCTGCTCATGTCTTTATCTTTTCTTTACTGGATATGCCCTGTCAGTATGAAAAAGTCCACAGCTCCTTCCTATCTTAAATTAGGGACCTCTTATGATCCCACATCTTCTAGCTATTTCCCCGAGTCTCTTTTTTCCTTGATAGTTAAATATCAGTACACACTTATTTAAATAATTTAAGGATGTGGGCCTCCCCGGTGGCGCAGCGGTTGAACGCTGGGTTGCGAAGCTGCTCCCCAGCCACCGGAGGAGGGTCCCACATGGCACGCAGACCTCTCCTGCCACCCGCTGCTCCCCTCAGCGGTGTACTTCGGTCCTTCTGCCTGCTCTGCTCCCCTCTCTGGCTCTGGTGAATTCTCTCACCCTCCCGCGCTTCTGACTGTACCCAGTGCGTGTATAAACAAAACAAAGAAACAAATAAATAAATAAATAAATAAAACATGCCTCTATAAAAAAAATTAATAATAATTTAAAGATGTTTTGTGTCTATAATCCAGAGTTTCAAAATCAAGTAAAGGTCTATGATGAAAACAATAGTTCCCTGACCTTTCTAGCTACAGTCCCATTAATTCAACAAACTTTTTGAAGGTATTATTTAAGGAAAATTTGTCTTCAGAAATTTTGAAGACAGGAGCTTATAGTCTAGTGGCATATTAGAAGGTAATAAGTTCAGTGTAGGAAAAATAATAGGGTTGAGAGAGTTGGGAAGGGTTGCAGTTTTAATCAGGGTAGTCCAGGAAGACATCAATGAAAAGGAATGCTTGGAGGGAAATCTGAAGATGAGGGAAATAGCTATGAAAGTCTGCAACGGTAGACTTAAAATGCCTGTTGTGTTCAAGACACATCAAGGAAACTAAAGAATCTAGACAGAGTAAGCCTGGGGGAGAGGAGTAGGAGATCGAGGTCAGAGAGTTAAAGGACCAGATTGTTGTAGGTCCTTAGAGGACATTACATTCTTTGGCTTATACAGTGACCAACTTGGATCTTAGGCAGCATTTCACTCACGTTTTTTAAAGGATCATTCAGGTTGCCTTTTTTTTTTCCTTCTAAAATTTTTTTTCACTTTTTTTATTTTTTTTATAATAAATTTTATTTTTATATTCCCCATACAATTGCAACCCCCTTATTTTGACCCCAATCCCTCCCCTCCCGCCCCCTACCCCCCATAGAGTGTCTCTGGTTCATAGTTTTTTGTTGATTTTGATTTTCACTTTCTTATAGTTATTCATTTTCCTGGTCCCTTTTGAGATGAGGCTATAGTGGCGGGGAAGGAAGCTAGGAAGGAGACCATTACAATAACCATGATGTGTGTCAGTAGTGATTTGGCAAGCGGTGGGAGCACTGAAGGCAGTGAGAAAGAGTCTGATTCTGGATACATTTTCTGTAGGAAGTAAGTTCATGCTTTCTAAGTTTTCTTTATGAAATGTTTCTTCTGTATCTTTGTTATACTTTTTTGGTAGTTCTTGATTTATTGCATTTGTACATTGATTTATCAATTTTATGCATTGTCTTTATTCCTGCCATAATAGATGATGCTTTAATTCGCAAGTTTTAGGTGTCTCTCCCTCTTCTCAGTTCAGTAGCCATTTAAGTACTACTGGGAGTTTCAATATTGGTTTCCTTTTTATTATTTTTTTTAATTATCTGTAGACATGCTTCTTCTAAATCTCTTACTTGTATACTATTTGAAGTTTTTGTTTTTGTCCTTTATTTCTGGAGAATTCCTTCCTAGAGAATTTCTGGAGAATTCCTTCCTGTAATCTGTACTGGTTACTATTTAGGCCTTGGACAGTCCAGCTGTGTAGGTAGTTTATAACCTTTTTTCATTGAATGCACTGTTCCTTGGTTTCCTGCCTTCTTTTTTTCCTAATTTACTCCCTAATTTTGGTGGAGTCATAGTCTCAAGTAACTTTATAAGATATGAGAAATGTAAATTTTGAGTTCTTTCACTTCCAGAAATGACCTATTAGTGTCGCTGGATATAGAATTTTAGTTTATTTGTATTTGCCATTTTCTCCTCTGCAATGTTGAATTCTTTGTGTTTAAGTTTATTTGCTTAGAATTCTAAAATTTTTGTGTTTTGGTTTCAGTCTCCAAAATATCACTTTTCTGGGAACTTGATACGGGGTCTTTCAGGATAAAGACTTAGGTTCTCCATTTTAGTGAAGTAATCATCTCTCTTTACTTTGATAAGTTCCCCAGTTTATTTTTCTTGTTCTCTTTCTAGAACTATTCTGTTAGTTGGGTATTGAGTCCCCTGTTTGTCAATTTTACTGTGTTATACTCTGGGGAATTTATTTTTACTCTACAATGTTCAAAAAAAAAAAACTCTGTTTCCCCCAACATTTAAATTGCCTCCTGTTTTCCTATTCTAATTTCCTAATTAGAATTAAAAGTTTTATTTTGTTCACATTATATCTTTATGATCTTTTTTATTCTGTTTCTGTCAGTTTTTCTTTTTCTTTTTTTTTCTTATTTTTAGACTTTCCTCAAGTGTTATGGGTTCTTGGGTTACTTTTAATGTTTTATAATCATGCCCTTGACAGGGAGTCTTCATTCATACCCAGCTCCTTGCCTTTAAAAGGAAATGGAAGTCAGCATAATACAAACTTGTTGTTTGAAGAACTGGCCTATACCAACAGAGTATATGCAGAGGAAGCCCTTGGGAAAAATGGAATGTTTCTTGCCAAGTGATCTTTATGATTGTGCCAAGAAAGTAATGGGCAGCATATGCTACTGTTTTATTGTACAAGTTTACCTCTGGCCCCCAAATATCTGATTCAGTCTTTTTTTTTTTTTTTTTTTTTAATTTATTTATTTATTTGTTTGTACATGCACTGGGTACAGTCAGAAGCGCGGGAGGGTGAGAGAATTCACCAGAGCCAGAGCGGGGAGCAGAGCAGGCAGAAGGACCGAAGTACACTGCTGGGGGGAGCAGCGGGTGGCAGGAGAGGTCTGCGCGCCATGTGGGACCCTCTTCCGGTGGCCGGGGAGCAGCCGGGGATCGAACCGGCGCTGCAGAGGCTGCGGGCAGCTTCGCAACCCAGCGCTCAACCGCTGCGCCACTGGGGAGGCCCACCTGATTCAGTCTTTATATTTAAATGGGGCATAGCTCTCATGATACCTTAATTTTTGATAAAATTAAAACTTTTGATAGCAGGTGTTTTAAGGTAAAGACTCACATTTCCTTATAAAGTCATATGAAATTTTTGGTTCCTTTTTTGGTTGAATTCATTTGAATAGGCCTTTTTCTGGTGCTAGTTATACACACACACACCATATTTATTGAAACACTATTGCTTGCTGCATATCTTAATTGTTTATTAGCAAGTGTCTTTCAGTAGACTGGGCAGATTATCACATCAGGTTTTTGCTCAGAGTTGACCTCCTATTCCTAACTCTTTCAGGTATAGAGCAAACATCTGGAAAACTATGGGTTACTTCTTTCTCTCCTTTCTTCTCCATCTCCAATATGTAACCATTTTGTTCCTTTATTAGCACTTTTGGATCTATCTAGGCTATTAAAAACATCCTTCTCTGAGCTAACATTGCCTCACACTTAACTGTTAGTTCAGTTACAATCCCCTTTGCATAGACTGCCATCGCACTAAATAATCTTCACATCTTTCAGCTACTATTTACTGTCTTCCCCCACTACACTGTAAGCTCCTTAATATACCTTTTGGACCAAGCGCATAGAAGGCATTCAACTAATGCTATAAACCATGACTAGTGCTACCTAATGGTCTCAAAAGAGACTGATCTGTGGGCCTCCCTGGTGGCACAGGTGGTTGAGCTCCACATTGTGAAGCTGTTCGCAGCCTCTGCAGCGCGGATTCGATCCCGGCTGGCCGGCTGGAATCCCACATGGCGCAGCAGACCTTTCCTGTCTTGCCAGCTGCTCCCCTCAGCAATGTGTTTCGTCAGTCTGCCTGTTCTGTTCCCCTCTCTGTCTCTGGTGAATCATCTCTCCCTCCCGCACATCTGGCCTGTACCCCAGCTCTTGTATAAATAAAATCTTTTAAAAAAAAGAGAGACTGGGGCCTCCCCAGTGGCGCAGCGGTTGAGCGCTGGGTTGCGAAGCTGCCCGCAGCCTCTGCGGCACCAGTTCGATCCCCAGCTGCTCCCCAGCCACCAGAGGAGGGTCCCACATGGCGCACAGACCTCTCCTGCCGCCCGCTGCTCCCCTCAGCAGTGTACTTTGGTCCTTCTGCCTGCTCTGGTCCCCGCTCTGGCTCTGGTGAATTCTCCCACCCTCCCGCGCTTCTGACTGTACCCAGTGCATGTATAAACAAACAAACAAACAAACAAATAAATAAATAAAACATGCCTTTAAAAAAAAAAGAGAGAGAGACTGATCTGTAATCTAGTTTGTGTCAGTGTGGAAATGCAGTCAGCTATGCACCACTCAATAGCTGTTAAAGTTAACAAAACAAATTTAACATTTCTTCCCTAAAATTAATCTGGTAATCAGTGATCCTGACAAATGTTCTCCAAAGGATGTTATTCTCCTAGTTGTACTTAAGATCTTTTTTGGCTCATCCATGCACACATGTATGTTTACTTTTTAGCATATAGTGTCGAAGACCAGAAAAACCTCACAGACTGTCCTAATGGAGCACTTTTTGAACAGAAGAGCTTACCTTATGTTGCATGTCAGTTTCCGCTTCAATTACTTGATCTATGCAGTGGTGAAAATGATCCTCAGTTTGGATATGCCGGGGGAAAACCGTGTATTCTTGTGAAAATGAACAGAGTATGTACACATTTTGCTGCTGTTGCTCTTTTCTAACATCCTCTGTTAAGCTAGCAACTATTTACTGAATGTTACCTAATTTGTGTGAAAGACTATCAGTGATATCAGTAGACCTTTGGAAAATTAATCCAGAAAAAAATCCAAGATTTGTTCATAAGAGAAGGGATTTGTTCATAAGTTTAGGGAGTATAATGTGCATGCTGTTTGAATCCTGTGTTATAATTTAAAATTCCATGGTAAATAAAGTTTTGACTTAAGTAACCTTTTGTAAATATTTAGTCGCAAAGCATTGTTTTATAGTATATGTATATATAATTAAATAGTATAACTACAAGTAAACTTGCTTTCTAATGCATTCAGTGGGTTGGATTAGCCAAAGTAGCAGCATATTGCTATGATGTATAGAAGAGGTGCTGAATTGTATAACCATTAGCAGATTAAGAAGCTAATGTTCTCTGTGTAAATTAAAATGACCTGGGGTCATTTGCAAAGATGCTTTACTCATACAATGAAGTGATTCCTAAACCTCTGAGCCTTGCTACTCTATAAATGCGTTCTGCAGAGCTGTGTTCTGACAGTTATCCTATAGAGGCCTACAAAGTCTCCCTTGAAGAATGAGCTCATTTCTGGTCATTTACTCTGAGAAAAGGTGGTATTCTTAAATAGCTGTACACTTCAAGACCATGAATTCACTTATCACTAAAATCACAATTGATAAGCAAATTACTACCATCACTAATGAAAGTAACACTTGGATACTTCTGAAGTTGGCTTTGCTTAGTAAGGAGTTTCCCTGTAGGAGGTGCCAAATTTTAGGTGAACTAAATTTATTCACTTTTAATAGGGATTTTTTATTTTTATTTATTTTTTTTTTTTTTGGTAATGCCAATCTCCTAGGAGTGTCTTCATATGTACATTGCTAGAAAATGAGTATCCAATATAGAGCCACGGCAAGAAGTTCCGGTTCTTTCTCTCATAGAACCAAACCTCTGAGTTTATTTTCTTCCTCCACGTAATCCTCTTTGAATTAAGAGGATCTGAGATTGTACTTGGTGGTAGGGCCATGACTTTTCAGGGCTTGACAGGAAGATAACATCAGGCACATATACAGAAACTTAAGAAACAAGATGTGATTACTTTTTCCAAAGACCTTACTTGAGCAAAGAGGTTGTAACATTTCTTGTATTTTGAGTAGACATATGTAAATGCTTATAAATACAAAATGCAAAAAAATTCCTCTTGTGAAGCAGATAAATAATATCTGTTACCATTCATACAGTCATATCAACTATGCACATGAAAGTGGCCTCATTACACAGATCTAAATGGTACTTTGAGAATTTTAAAATGGGATTCTTCTCACTATGCATTTTATGGAAGAGAGGGATGTGATATAGTGAGGCTCTGTGGAAACCTATGAAAAGATATGTTGGTGATTGTGACCTAATACATTTTCACAAAAAACAGTAATTAAATTTTTCCTCTGCAATTCTTACTTGCATTAATGATTTGTTCATATAAATAATGAAGTTTAAAATGTTTTGTTTATTCCTTGTGTTAAGGATCACAAAGTATACAATACCATGTTTTGGTCAATTCTTTGGCAACTGATTTATTCTCTGTTGCCCCAGTACAGTAATAAGATAGTTAATTGGTAAGATGATTGAAAGGACCATTTTGTTCTGCTGAAGTCAGAGTAAAAAAAAGGTGATGTAATAGGATTAATGTTCATCTCAACCTTCCTGCCTTAGTCTGTTTGTAGCAATTAAGTCTGTTATTTATTTTTATGATGTTTCAATTAATCAGTATTTCTTTATCTTAGATAATTGGGTTAAGGCCTCACGGAGATCCAAAGATACAGTGTACTGCAAAGGTTAGTATTAAAAAAAAATTAATCAAACTTCTGTTACAACTTTTAAAGAGACTTTAAAAATAAGGAATTATAGTCATCTTTTTCTTCCATGTCACATTTTTATTACTCTAGTGCAATTCATAGAAGAAAAATATTCTACCAAACTTGGGGTAAACCATCCTTATTAGTGATAATTTGAAAAGACTTGTTTTCCATGTGTATCTGATTTCACACACTTTCCTTTACATTTACATATGCCATATTTCATTGATTCTAAGATTCACTTTTCCCCCCCTAGCTTTAATAACACTAAAATTGGGATGGCCGTATAATTGAAGTGACTTAATGTATCATAGTGCATAATTTGTATATAAATGGGCATCTGAGATTTAATGAAACATGGTATGTTTTCTTAAATTAGAAGCATTATTTTTCTCCCTTATCCCAACTTTATTTTTTTCCAGAGTGCTATGCATTTTTCATCTCATTACTTCTTTTGTTTTCTTTCCATGCTGCAAGTGCAACTAAGACAAATATGTAAATGATGGGTAAGAGTTCTGAGGAAAAACTGTTCTAAGTTCTAATTTTAATTTCATTATTGTGCAGAGTATTCACATTCCAACTCAAGTTGTATGTTAGAAATATTTTACTTAAAATGGTGCATTGAAATAGTTGTGAAGATAAATTAGAATTTCTAATTTAACCATGAATGAACTTTGGATTTGAGCAGAAACTTCTTAATCATGGGCTCTCAAATTCAGTCGTGCATCAGAATCACTTTGAGGACTTGTTGGACCTAAGTTTCTGACTATAAGATGTCTGGGTTCACCCGGAATTTGCATTCTAAGTTTTCAGGCAGTGCTGATGCTGCAGGTCTGAGACTTACACTTTGAGAGTTTGCACTTCCAGTTCTTCAGTAGGTAGAGAGCTGCTCACAGTTTCTGATATGAAGCCATTCATATACTTAGAAAACTATGACATGTATGTTTTACGCTTACGTATCTCGTCATTATTCAGGTATGTATTTCAAGATACGTAATTTCTAAATGCTTATTTTCATTGAAGGTGTAAAATGAAAGCTTAAGTACAAGCCTGCCAACAGGTGGTTTAGGTACAAGCCAAGAGAATAAGTTAAGAATCTGTCACACCTGGTGGTCTTGAGCATGTGACCTTAACTCCGTCCTCCTCTCTGTAATTGTTGCCTCTCACTCTGGGGACCTTAGGCCCACAGGAGGGGAACCAGTGAAGCACTCATATCAACATGATTTTCCCCTTCTTATATGAAATGCTATTGTAGGCTTTTTTTAATTAAGGAGTAAAAATAAAAGATAAAAGATGGCATTTGATTAGTGATTGAAAAATGGCTTTTATAATTTCTTTTGGCTTCGTTATCTCCTGCTCTTTGCACATATCTTTGACCTGTATCATTAGAGCTTGCCCTGTTTGTGGAGTGTCATCACTACGCCTTGCCCTGTCTTGCACATGTGCCACTCCATGATAGTTATGTGAAATAAGCAGAGAAGTAGGACTTCCAGTTCAGGTAGATTTGTTAGTTTTGCAATAATTTTCATGTGTGCTTTCAAAAAAAGATACTGGTTTATTCAAATCTAAAACTGGAGTATTTAGCAATGTTTCATTTTACATAGTGTTTAGTGAACTTACCACTCATTAATCATTGTTTTCTATAATGTACTCTTTATGTGTTACAAGTTATAGTCATTGAAATTTGGACTATTGGAATGTGTTACAGAGCAATTTCCACAAATTGTTTTTTCACCAAGAATAATGCTAGAGATAACTAAAAGCACAAAAGAATTGGATTATGTATGATTAGATTTGTATTTGCCATTTCTTTTTAATACAAGGAATGTAATCCCATTAGACTCATAGTGCTTCTGATTGATTTACACGTGTCTGGCAGATTATTCAAGGAAAATGTGATGTTTAAATTGTTTAGGAAGGCTTTTCTTTTGAAGTACCTTAAATTTTTCTTAATAGTTTTTGTCAGTCATATCATAGTTTCCCCCTTTGCTTATGGCTATTTTATCACATGAAACTTTTGGAGCTTCCAGGCCTGAAAGCACAATGTTTTATTCATTTCAGAAATACGCCAGTCGTAAACCAATATTGACATTTGGTAGTTGGAGTGCAGATAAGATTTCACAGACAGTACAGGAGTGGATCTGGCCATCAGAAAGGGCTCCCATCAAAAATTAAGAATTAGGGTGGATTGTGTCAAAGTTTAAATCAAAATAAACAAGTTTCTTCTCAAAAATAAACTTATAACTAATGCAATTGGAACAGCATATTACTAATCCAATTAATCATCATACTGCTGATAGTTGATACTGCTTTAATATATACTTTTTTAATTGTGTATATAGTCTAAAATCACTTATTTTGCTTTCAACTTTAGGATAACATGACATCAAAAGTAGTAACGTATCCTCCATCTGGATATATTGACTTAAAATATTTTCCATATTATGGGAAAAAACTGCATGTAAGTATTAAGAAGTCCTTAATTAAGTGGTTGTAACTCATGAAATTGGCATGTATATATGAAAACGTCACTTCTCAGTGGTGGGTAGCCATGTACTATATATAACTTGTGCATTGTCTATTATGGTTTCTAAATAAAAAGTGGAGATCCCACATCTATAATTCAAAACACAAAACCCAAGCAGATGGAATATATTCCTGTAGACACTTTACACTTTATCCAGATTTCCTAAATGTTAATACTTTTATCTCATTGGTTTTATTGTTTGCATACACTTTTTTCACCTGAACCATTTTTAAGGACAAAGTTTTCTTTTTTTTAAAGATTTATTTATGCATACAAAACCTGGGGTACAGGCCAGAGGTGTCGTGGATGAGAGGATTCACCAGAGACAGTGGGGAGCAGAACAGTCTGACTGACTGAAATACACTGCTGAGGGGAGCAGCAGGCGAGGTAGGAGAGGTCTGCCATGCCATGTGGGTCAGCTCCCTTGCCAGGGATCAAATTCATGGCTGCAGTGGCTATGGATAGCTTGATAGTGCTGAGACTTAACCCCTGCACCACCAGAGACCCCCAAGGACAAAGTTATAAATGCAGCGTCATCTTATACTAAATGCTTGAGTGTTATTTCCTAAAAATAAAGACATGATCTTTTATGACTATAGTGATTATCAAAGGAAGTTAACATTGATACAGAATATTATCCAGCCTACAGACCTTGTTGTAATTTTGCTAGTGTCTCAGTGATGTGCTTTATAGCAAAAGGAAAAGTCTGGGGGAGGATATTCATCTATAAGCTGGAACAGTCCCCCAGCTTATCTGTTTCATATCCTTATACTTTTCAAAAATGTGTACAGGCTTTTTGGAGACTTACTTTGTTAATGTCCCTCAACTTGAGTTTGTCCAGTGTTTTTCAGGATTAAGTATAGATTGTACATTTCACAATAATGTCCCAGCAGAAATGTTAAGTTCTTTTCAGAATAACGTATCAGGACAGACATGGTTTTGACTAACAGTGATAGAAACCTTGAGCACTTGACTAAGGTGGAGTTAGCCAGGCTTCTAGCTACTTGGCGGCGGGGGCTGGGGGGAACAGATTGCAGTGCAGGTACTTTTTCCCATAGCTTTTAGCATTGTTGATACTTGTCTGAGTCAGTTGCCATGAGTATTATATCCAGTTGTTTTCCTGGTCCCATTCCTTTCCATTTTTTAGTTGGTATTCTGTTGTAAGGAAGAGCTTTTTCTTCTCCACCATTTACTTGTGTATATATGTACATGCACATACATAACCTATCAAGATTTTTTCCTTAATTCAGAGGTTTATAATTGTTATTTATTTTTGGTGCTAAAATTGTCCCATACTTGGCCACTGAGAACCTTTAGGCTGACTGCTTTGCTCCTTTCAGCAGTTCATTACATTCTGACACCATGAGACATTTCAGGTTCATCTTGTAGTCTCTGCACCAACCCTAAAATCAGTACCTAATTCCTTTTAGTGAAGAATTGTATCTGGAAACCATAATGATGGTAAAATAATTATGAGTATATTTGCACCAAGTTATAGAGCAACCTGTAAATGAGGATATGATGTGAGAGACATAAGGAACATAGTAAGCTCTCTAAGAGCTGATGAATCTTGTCCATGTTTATGAAATAATAATTTATAATATATCAAATATTTGTATATATTAATATAATATATTGATATATGCTTAATATAATCAATATCTAATATATTAATATATAATTATTATGATACTCATTATGTTAATAATGAATACATATATCCTCCAGCACGGCTGGACCAGTCACAAAATTTGTCATAAAAATACACCCTTGAGGGCCTCCCCTGGTGGCGCAACGGTTGAGCACTGGGCTGCGAAGAGGCCCACAGCCTCTGCAGTGCCCACTGCTCCCCTCGCAGTGTATTTCATCAGTCTGCCTGTTCTGTTCCCCGCTCAGGCTCTGGTGAATTCTCTCACCCTCTGCGCTTCTGACTGTACCCATTGCTTATAGAAATAAATAAATAAATCCTAAAAAAAAAATACACCCTTGACCTCACAAAATAGTGTTTCTGGTGACAATTTGATGAACTAGAGATTAGAAGGACACTGTGGAAAGAGGGAGTGGGTGGAAAGGGGTAGTTCAGACCAAGGTTGTAGAACATCTAAGAAAGAATGGTAATGAGGGCCTCCCTGGTGGCACAAGGGGTTAAGCACCATACTACAAAGCAATCCGCAGCCTCTGCAGCACGAGTTCGATCCCCTGCCAGCCAGGTAGCAACCCACATGGTGCAGCAGACCTCTCCTGTCTTGCCCACTGCTCCCCTCAGCAGTGTATTTCAGTCAGTCTGCCTGTTCTGTTCCCCACTCTGTCTCTGGTGAATCCTCTCACCCCCTGCATCTCTGGCCTGTACCCCAGCTCTTGTATGCATAAATAAATAAATCTTTAAAAAAAAATGGTAATGAAACACAGCATAATCATAGTTAATGGGATAGATTTAGAACTATGCTCAGAGAACAGTTTGTAGCTACAAATATCAATAAAAATTAAGGTACTAAGGAATGAATATCCAGTTTCAAATAAAAGATAGGGAATAAATAACCCAATAGTTTAATTTACAAACTAAACCAACTTCTGATAAAGTATAGATAAAATTACTGTAGAAATTTAAATTAATGTGTTTTTCTTTATTTACCAGGTGAATTATCTACAGCCCTTAGTCGCTGTCCAGGTCCAATTTAATAATAGTGCTCCACAACGCGAAGCAACAGTCGAATGCAAGATTACAGGAACAACCAACCTACTAAATGAGGATGACCGTGACAAGTTTTTAGGACGAGTTGCATTCAAAGTCACAGTGCGTCCATAGTAAGAGTTAGGATATCTCCACGAGGAAATATGTTGCCTGTCTTCGTTTTATATCAGCTGGACCTGCCATTCTAGAACTAGGATACCACCTTGGAGCAAGGTGGGGTGAAACCTGACTGGGGTGACATCATGTTTTCTTCAGATCATAGTGTTCAGTGTCCTCCGAAGTAACTGCCTGTTGCCTCTGCTGCCTTTGAACCAGTGTACAGTCGCCAGACAGGGACCATGAACACTTGATTCTGAATATGTAGAGTGTGGGTCTTTCATATTTTCACGTGGTTTAATTGCCAACTGTCTAAAGCTTAATGTGTGCTGTGCTATGTAAATATTTTATAGAATTAACACTGGTTAACTGTCATATTTTGATGCCAGCCAAGTTTTAGGGATGAAATGGTACCTGAAAAATATCTTGACTCATTGTAAAGTAAAAAATGGGCGTTATATGGAAACGACAATAAAACAAATTTGAAACATTGTTGTCAATTTTTGAATTTTTTACATGCTAGATTAGTCTGGGTCACTTTCATTAAGAGCAGGAACTTTTTGTTAAATATGTTTTAAAAAATAGTTGCTACTGGGCCTCCCTGGTGGCGCAGCGGTTGAGCGCTGGGTTGCGAAGCTGCCCTCAGCCTCCGTGGCGCCGGTTCGATCCCCGGCTGCTCCCCGGCCACCGGAGGAGGGTCCCACATGGCGCGCAGACCTCTCCTGCCGCCCACTGCTCCCCTCAGCAGTGTACTTCGGTCCTTCTGCCTGCTCTGCTCCCCGCTCTGGCTCTCGTGAATTCTCTCACCCTCCCGCGCTTCTGACTAGACTCAGTGCTTGTATAAACAAACAGACAAACAAACAAATAAATAACATGCCTCTAAATAAATAAATAAATAAAAATTAAAAATAAAAAATAGTTGCTACTGTTTTAGTGCTGAAGCTAAGTCTATACATTAAAATATTTTACACCATAGATGAAACACAATTTTTAGGTTAGCATAAATATATATCTCATTTTTTTAAGATTTATTTATGCGTACAAGAACTGGGGTATAAACCAGAGGTGCAGGGGGTGAGAGAATTCACCAGAGAGAGTGGGGAGCAGAACAGGCAGACTCACTGAAATACACTGCTGGGGGGGGCAGCGGGCGAGACAGGAGAGGTCTGCTGTGCCATATGGGTTGCTTCCTGGCCAGGGATCGAACTCGGTGCTGCAGTTGCTGGCAGTAGCTTGATAGCGCTGTCTTTAACCCCTTTGCCACCAGGGAGGCCCTGCATCTCATTTTTTTTATGACACTCATGAGATTGTGAAATATCTTATTACTGCCTTCATTAGCAGATTGTGAACTGTAATGAAAAGTATCAATTGTGAAATATAAAAACTTGGAACTGAAGCTTCAAATGAGATAGTAGAGTTTTCTATCAATCAGCATTCTTTGCTAATTGTCATGAATAGTACCTTCATAGGTGTTTTGGTATGATTCTTTGTCATAATGTGAGCTCCTTTCTCCGGTATGGAAAAGTGTGTGCTCTCTGTGAAATGACTGCTATTTTAAAACCCATTTTACCCTCTCCTTTCACAAAGGGATAGCCAGGATAACAGGGACCCAACCCAATTGGCTCAGGAATGGCTGTTGGAGAAAATGTGAATCCTCTGGGTGACCTTGAGGGCCAAATGACCTTGGTGACCCAGTGGCAGCCCCCACACTGTGGTACTGGGCACTCATCCTCTTGGAGAGTTTTGTTTCTTCTCTAAGATCTCAGTGTTTTCAGAAGTCGTCTTTGCAGCTGATGTAAATAATTCTTTGAGTTGTTAACAAGGTAAATATGCTCTGGACTTTGATTTTCCTCTCAAAAATGTAAGACAAAGATAAAATATTGTGATGCCAGACCAATGGCATGGACTGTGGCCAGGACATCACTTTAGTTGGCCCAGCATGACCAGAACCTCAGCTGTCAACTATGGCTCATGTGAAATTCATATTAAATATTTGATTAATTTTGTATGTTTGTGTCTTTTGAAGTATAGATCTTAAATCACGATGTGGTTACCCAATAAACCCATTGTAAGTTGGAAATAAAAATTGGAAATTAATAGACCTTACCTACCAAAGATAGATTAGCCTAACCAGCCTTAAATGTGCTGAGAACACTTGAATTTGCCTGTTCTTTAACAAAATGTTGACTATCTTGTGTAATTACTGAATAATAGACTGAAACAGTATTGGTTCACCCTTATGATCTCTGTTGACTGGGAGCCGCTGCTGTTCAGCATTATAAGAGTATCCTACCACATTTTGCAAATCTGGGAAAAGATCAAAATTCAACTGCAGTTTCTACTGAATGCTTACCAGTGTTTGAAAAAGTTTAAATAAAAAGCAAACATTCTCAGAACATGAAACAAAAATTAGGATAGTCAAATCAAAGGAGTCAGTTTTAGGAAGGAATAAAATTAAACGTGAACATAAGTCACTAAATCATATTTGTGTCTCTTGGTTCCAAAGTTTGGGTGCAACTCAGCCCCTGGCTGCCTTGAGTTTTAGTTGACCAACCTTTTTTATTTTTTCCCCATGAAAATTGATTTATGCATCCATGAACTTGGGTGTAAGCCAGAGGTGCAGGGATGAGAGGATTCACCAGAGACAGAGTGGGGAGCAGAACAGGTGGACTGACTAAAATCCACTGCTAAGGGGAGCTGCAGCAGGAGAGACAGGAGAGGTCTGCTGTGCCATGTGGGTCAGCTCCCTGGCTGGGGATTGAACTCGTGCTGCAGTGGCTACGGATAGCTTCATAGTGCAGAGACCCAACCCCTTGCGCCACAGGGAGGCCCAAGACTGGTTTATTCTTTTTTAAATATTTTTTTTCATCATTTTTTCATTTTTGTACAATGTATGCATTTTCATCTTGGTTTTATAGTCCCCATAAAATTCCCTTGTTTTGATACTACTCTTTACCCCGCCCTCCCTCAGTGCATCTGGTTTATAGTTGCCTGTTGATTTTGATTTTACTTTATTATAATTATGCTTTTTCCTGATCCCTTATTTGGGTCTTTTAAATTCCTGCTATAATTGAGAATATCCAGTATTTTTCTTTCTGGCCTATTTCACTGAGCATGATCTATTCCATTGTGTATATGTACCACATCTTGATACAGTCCTCTTATTTTTGGGCATTCGGGTTGTTTCTATAGCTTGCCTGTTGTAAATAGTGCTGCAATAAACATAGGGGTGCAGGTGTCCTTTTGAATTAATGGTTTTGCGTCCTTTGGGTAGACACCTAGGAGTGGAATTACTGGGTCATATGGAAGCTCCACCTTTAGCAGATTGAGGAATCTCCACACAGCTCTCCATAGTGGTTGGACCAGTTTGCACTCCCACCAGCAGTGCAGGAGAGTTCCTTTTTCTCCACATCCTCACCAACATTTGTTGCTAGTTTTTTTAATATGTGCCATTCTCGCTGGTGTAAGATGGTATCTCATGGTAGTTTTGATTTGCATTTCCCTGATTACAAGTGATGTCAAACATTTTTTCATATGCCTGTTGGCCATTTGCATTTCCTCTTTGGAGAAGTTTCTTTTTAGCTCTTCTGCCCATTTTTTGACTGGGTTATTTACTTTGTTTTATTGAGCCTCATCAGCTTTTTATAGATTCTTGTGATCGGTCCCTTATCATTAGTGTTGTGTGCAAAAATTTTCTCCCAATCAGTGGGGTGTCTGTTTTGGTTACTGTCTCTTTTGATGTACAGAAGCTCTTGGATGTAGTTCCAGCTGTTTATCCTTTTCTTCACTATCACTGCTATGGATGATGTGTCCTTAAAGATGTTGCTGAAGTGTATGTCATATAGTGTCTCACCTATATTTCCTTCTATGTATTTTATTGTTTTGGGTCTTATATCTAGGTCTTTAATCCGTTTGGAGTTGGTTTTTGTGCATGGTGTGAGGTAGAAGTCAAGCTTCATTCTTGTGCATCTAGCGGTCCAGTTTTACCAGCACCATTTATTGAACAAACTTTCTTTGCTCCTTTGTCAAATATTAATTGACCGTAAATCTGTGGGTTTATTTCTGGGTTTTCTATTTGATTCCATTGGTCTGTGTGCCAAGACTGGTTTATTCTAAAGGTCCCTCTCTGAAACTTACTTTTGTGAAAAGGTCCTAAGTGACAGGCAACATTTTGTGGAGGAGAGAATGGCAGGGTCTGTGGAGCTGGGTCTGTGGGAGCAGATGAAGTTCGACTCCTGCAATTGAATCTAGCACTGGTGGAGGATATTGACTTTTAATATTTAAAATTCAGTGACTTTTTTTTGGTGAGGGGAGATGCAGTTCAAGAAGGTGGCTTTTTTTGTTTGTTTGTTTATTAATTTTTTTAATTTTTTACATCGTTTTTCATTTTTAAACAATATTTGCTTCCCCCCAGCCCCTCAGGTGTAGTCCCCATAGAGTTTCCTTCACCAAGGCACCCGTGCACCATCACCTCAGTCCCCTGTGCCCCTCCCTCCCTCCCTCTGACCCCTCTTCCTCCTCCCCTGCAGGATGGCTCTGATTTATAATTGTCCGGTTTTGCTTTGTTGTGTTTTGTACTGTCATTTTTTTACACTGATGTCTTATTTGATTCCCCTATATTCCTGCTATAAGTGAAACCACCTGATATATTTTTTTCCTTCTGGCTTATTTCACTGAGCATAGTTACTTCTAGCTCCATCCACTTTGCCATGAATGGCATGAGTTTATCTTTATTGATTGCTGAATAACATTCCATTGTGTATGTATGCCACATCTTCTTGATCCAGTCATCTATTTTTGGGCATTTGGGTTGTTTCCAGATTTTACCTATTGTAAATAGTGCTGCAATAAGCATAGGGGTACAGGTGTTCTTTTGAATGAATGTTTTTGTGTCCTTTGAGTAGATCCCTAGTAGTGGAATTGCCGGGTGGTATGGTAGCTCCATTTTTAGTAGACTGAGGAAGCTCCAGACAGCTTTCCATAGTGATTGGACCAGTTTGCACACCCACCAGCAATGTAGGAGAGTTCCTTTTTCACCACATGCTCACCAACATATGTTGTTGCTTGTTTTTTTGATATGTGCCATTCTTACTGGTGTAAGGTGGTATCTGTGGTTTTGATTTGCATTTCCCTGATTATAAAGGATGCTGAACATTTTTTCATATGCCTTTTGGCCATTTGCATTTCCTCTTTGGAGAAGTGTCTTTTAAGTTCTTCTGCCCATTTCTTGACTGGATTGTTTACTTTGTTGAGCCATGTGAGTTCTTTTTATATACTCGTGATCAGTTGGATGGAGTGCAAAGATTTTTTCCCAATCAGTGGGGTGTCTCTCTGTTTTGGTTAATGTCTCTTTGGCTGTACAGAAGCTTTTCAGTTTGATGTAATCCCAGGTGTTTTTCTTTGCCTTCACTATCACTGCTTTGGGGGATGAGTCTTTAAAGATGTTTCTGAGATGTATTGCTTGTAGTGTTTTCCCTATTTTTCTTCTGTATATTTTATGGTTTCAGGTCTTATGTCCAGCTCTTTTATCCATTTTGAGTTGATTAAAATTCGATGACTTTTTTTTTAAAGATTTA